AGTTTGTAGCTTTATTAACTAAAACCAAATACCCCACCCCCACCCCCACACCCGCTCGTCTGTGTGCTTCTATATAGTATACGACAACAATTGACAAGTCAAGTGACTCTACTATAGGTATATAAATATTACCCCATAAACCATTCTTTTATTAACATTCGAGTTCCGTCAGAGTGATATAGCCTACAGCTTTTCTCAATAAATTATAAATGCACCATTCAACACTAAAATATTTTTTTAGTACTTCCTATAATACTACCTACTAACTATAATATTAAACTAACTAACTTCCTATAATATTAGCGCATTCAAACAAACTCTTCAGTTTTATATTAGAATAGATTATACTTATACTCCAACTGACATACCCCGTCCTGATAATGGAAATGACTTAGGAATATCTCAAAAGCCCAAATAAAATTTTAACCGACCGAGATTCGAACTCTCAACCTTATATGTAGTTAAGTCACCACTGGCCACAAGGTGGATTAACCTAGACCATACTCTGACCCAATTATTTATAAATTGAATGTCTGGACACTTTGTTACAAAGAAAACTACTGTACCTAATAAAGTTAATAGAATAGCACCGCGTTCCGCCTCTTTCCAAGTATTAAAGTAAGGAATTTACCCGTTGAGAGACAATTTTCTACGTGCAATCGTAAACGAAAATAAATCTGTGGAAGTTTCTCGAAAATTCACTTTGTATTTTCTTATAAAAGTTTTTCAATTAAAAGCTGTTCTCGATCGCAACGGATCAGGTATTTTCTTTTTAAAAGTGTAAATAACTGGTAACGCCCTTAATTTGTTTTTCTGTTTTCGGGGCGAGCTTTTATTTGTTACGATTGAAAAACGGAATTGAAATGACAAAGTGTCGGTTGGGATAAAGATTCATAGTTGTTTCGTACTTTATTTACTTTCTTAATAGAAGTAGGCCACAAAAAATATTTCTTTTATCACAGAAAAATACCACAGTGGTCAAATTTTAAGACGTAATTTTTTAAGCTCCATTTATCTGTCTAACTAAACTAAATTGTCGCTCGTTGGTCTAATAGTAGGATGTATGGCTAATGACCAATGGGTCGTGGGTGCGATCCCCACCAAGTCCAATGTGTTTTTATTTTCAAATTTATAATTTTTCTGAAACATGCTGGAATTCGTGATTAACCCGGATATTAAATGCGTAGGATTATAGAAATTCCGTCCGGGTTACCAACCACCGTCCACAGATGAAAAAGCCTTGCAGCTTAATCGCGTTTCGGTTTCAGTCTGTGGATTTCCGAATATCCAAATCTAAATATCTAAACCAAGAATAAATAGATCGGCAGCCCATCTTGCTTAAATGCGATAGGCTAGGATATATCACCTACTATCAAGGGAACCCTTTAAAAAAAACTCAGCTGAACATTATATAGCAACTACTTAGACCAGCGGTAAATTAGCAAAAGCTCGCGTGACTATCGCCAACTTGTAGAAGTGATATGTTAGTTAAGGTTGTCTATGCGGTCTGTTCTTCACACTTCGACAATGTTTCAGAGATAACTTGGATCTGGGCAACTTCTGTATAATTAACAGAAGCTGTTGAAGCGAAGTATTGGTTCACGGCCTCTCACCTTTCACTGACCGATGAGTATTGATATTCAAGATAACCTAGACGATTAGTCTCTGATATTACTTGTGTGTGTGTGTGACTAGCTCGTTGGTGTAATGGTAGCAATGTGTGAATTGTAAATAAAACGACACTACAGGACTTGAACCGGCACCGCTAGCGTTCCGTGCTGTTACTCTAACAATTTAGCTACACGTCATCGTCTTTATTATATATATTAACTTGTCGTGGATTCGTAGCCGACCGGTCCATTTTTTAATCTATACTAATATATAAAGCTGAAGAGTTTGTTTGTTTGTTTGGACGCGCTAATATCAGAAATTACATGTTCGAATTGGAAAATTATTTTTGTGTTGACTAGAGCATTTATCGAGGAAGAATATAGGCTATAAAACATCGCGCTTTGACTAATGTAAGCGAAGATACAGCGGGAAATGTAAACAAAACGGGGGAAAATTTACATCTCTGTGGGTTTCATATGCGTACGCTGCGAAAACGGTTCAGGATGCCTAAAAAATGTGTATAAAAAATGTCCACGACGCTATATGTCTATCTTTTAAGATTAACTTGCAAAAACGACGGGAATAGACGCGATTGACGTCGTGCCTAACAGCTTAAGTTTATAAAGATGACGGGGTTTGCAAAAACTAATTTGGATACCGAAAATAACGATTCACGCGGACGAAGTCGCTGGCACAGCTAGTCAATTTATATTTTTCCGGTCGTTGTCTGGAAATCTGGATATTAAATGGGCGGTAGGAATACCGAATTCCAACCCGTGACGAACGACCATAACAGCACCATCAACAGGTGAAAAAGTTGTCAGTTTTATCGCGTTTTTGTTTCAGTCTGTGGATTCCCGAAAATCCAAAGCCATCTAAATAATAAATAGGTCAATAGGGCATCTTGTTTACATGTTTTTTAGCTGGGATATTTCCCCTACCATCAAGTGCTTGTCTATCTTCCTCTTTCTTGAAAAACTATGTATAGACTTAAATCATGTATTAAAAAGACATTTGTCAACGTCCTTGATGTTAGCTATTGGTTTGTCTGTCATCTTTATCGATCGATGGTATTGGTAAATATTTTAATCAAACTTATTCGCTCTATATTATTTATGGTCAGGTTTAACAAGCTGTCGGAGGAGCAGACAGCTGACAAGCCGGAATTAATATTGTCCGTGGATTTACCAAGTCATCCATGATGTCTTCGTTATGAATTAATATTGAAATTATATCTGGCATATTTTGAGGGCAACTAAGACTATTTTTCTTCCTTAAAAGGTAAATAAATATGGTTCGCTTAGTAAATGAAAGGTTGGTTGGTTAGTTATATTTATTTTTAATAATATTTGGACTCGGTAGCTAGTATTGGTTAGAGCAACATCACGGAACGCTGACGATGCCGGTTCGAGTCCCGAGTCGAACGGTTTTTAATTTATTTTCGATTGTTTATTATTCATAGTGTATTTTTTCTTAATTGACATTTTTAGTAAACAAACACAAGTTTTACATAATGTGATGTTCGTTTGACCAAATATGTTCCACCAAAAGTTGATTACAATAAAAATGGTTCTTATGAGTTAATCTTAAAAGATAGTGATATGAATAATCCTCCGATTTAGCGGGGACGACACAACACTAGTGCGACGCGATTACCGCGCGCGTCCCGACACTAGCTCAGGAACTGTCAAATACGAACGTTGGCGCGCATTCTGTCGGTTAAGCCTAATTTTGGATAATAAATTAATATTTAAGAGTTTAACATCGTTTTTCCGACCTAACAATATCAGAAGTGCGATAAGTGATCTTGCCCACGAGTGAACTTTGATGAATTGGACAATAATTTCACTTTTAAAGTGCAAAGTTTGGTGAAAAAATAAAACTGGCGGTTTTGGGTGCGAAAAGACGCTTTTATGATATAATTTTGTGATGACTCACATAATTAGTGATAAGAGCGCTTATAGTAACTAAGTTTAATGCAGATCGGTACTTAATACTTGATTTTTGCACAAATTTTGTCAATCCGTTAAGGGTCACTGACCTCCAGTACAACAAGTTTGTAGAAGTTTTGGGTGAACATTTTCTGGTTGAGAAACTGGTTTATTTGTGTGAATTATCCTGGTACGGTGACGATTGCACAACAAGGTGCTTGAAGATGCATCAGTTGCGTGTTGAAATGTTCCTGGTTATTTGGTGAGATTGTTCCATGAACTTTTGTTTTTACATAAGTAGACTGATAATTTGAGCATACTTTAATATCTGTTAAAATGCTCAGCAACCCAGAAATAAACAAAGTGAACTATTCTAAGTTGTTAAAGTGCTAATTTTAAACTAAATTTAAGGACTATTTGGATAATTGAACTTTTACTGAATTTAATTACTTTTGTTAAAGAAGTTTACTTTATTCAAAGAGAATTATTAGTGGAGACAGCAGTATAAGTTTATTGTGTGTGACTTTGTTTTAATTGTTAACATGGGTCGACACCGTAAGAGAAATAGGTCTACTAGTGCTTCTTCGTCAGGGTCAAGTAATTCAGATAGACAATCTAAAAGTAAACGACAAAAAAAAGAACTTAAAAGGAAGAATAAGAGAATCGAAGCATTAGAAGGGTTGATTAAAGAATTACAACAGAAAAATTATAATAATGGTGTCACCACACCAAGAGTAGAGTCAGTGGTTCGTTATGTGGGGCGGAATGATTTTGTACCTGAGTTTAATCCTCAAAAATCACCTGTCTCAGTAGAACATTGGCTCCGTAACTTAGAAGGTGTTGCTAATATGCATGGCTGGGATGAACGCACTTTGATTTGCAACTGCACTTCTTAGTTGGGTGGCTATGCTAAAAGCTGGTATGAACGCCAAACTTGCTATGACATTAGCTGGGATGAGTGGAAAATAAAATTAATTACAGCATTTCCATTCACTAAGAATAAGTTGTCACAGATTAGGGAACTTGTTAACCGTATCAAGACAAAAGATGAAGACCCAATAAAATTTTACTATGATAAGCTGGGTATTGGCATGTCATGTAATATGAGTGATGATGTGATAGCTCAAGCAATTGTGGGTACACTTGGAGACAAATTGTTAGAAGTTGGAGCATTGTCGGCTGGTTGTCATGATACTAATTCTTTGTTAAAGTACCTGGCCTGTATAAAAACATCATCGGACTGCGTTGAAGTGAAATCCTGGGGTTCATTTAATGCTTAAAATAATAACTTAAACAAGGTGGTCAAGTGTAACAATTGTGACAAGGTTGGTCATAAGGTGACTAAATGAAGGTTTTGAAAGCTACGCAAGACAGTTGTTCATCAGAGGACGAATTAAAGCAAGATGCTGTCACCCCTCTGGCATAGTGCCTACTGGCCTATATTGTGCCTACGGGGCTATGTTGTGCCTACGGGGCTATTACTGCCTACGGGGCCTATTACTGCCTACGGGGCTATTATCTGCCTACGGGGCTATTACTGCCTACGGGGCTATTACTGCCTACGGGGCTATTATCTGCCTACGGGGCTATTACTGCCTACGGGGCTATTATCTGCTTACGGGGCTATTACCTGCCTACGTGGCTATTACTGCCTACGGGGCTATTACTGCCTACGGGGCTATTACTGCCTACGGGGCTATTTACTGCCTACGGGGCTATTACTGCCTACGGGGCTATTATCTGCCTACGGGGCTATTACTGCCTACGGGGCTATTATCTGCCTACGGGGCTATTACTGCCTACGGGGCTATTACTGCCTACGGGGCTATTACTGCCTACGGGGCTATTATCTGCCTACGGGGCTATTACTGCCTACGGGGCTATTATCTGCCTACGGGGCTATTACTGCCTACGGGGCTATTACTGCCTACGGGGCTATTACTGCCTACGGGGCTATTACCGGCCTACGGGGCTATTACTGCCTACGGGGCTATTACCTGCCTACGGGGCTATTACCTGCCTACGGGGCTATTATCTGCCTACGGGGCTATTACTGCCTACGGGGCTATTTACTGCCTACTATAATCCTCCGATTTAGCGGGGACGACACAACACTAGTGCGACGCGATTACCGCGCGCGTCCCGACACTAGCTCAGGAACTGTCAAATACGAACGCGCATTCTGTCGGTTAAGCCTAATTTTGGATAATAAATTAATATTTAAGAGTTTAACATCGTTTTTCCGACCTAACAATAGACACATATACTGTCGCGGATATTGTTATATTATTTGAAGAAGAACACATTTGTATATTTTTTGGGTAACTTTTAATCATTTCGCAGCGCACGCCACACTCTCAAAGATTTTTTACGTATTTCCACATTTGCTTCTTCGGTCCTATTAATCACAACTTTATAACATATATATAATTTATTTTTCAACTCGAGTTCCAGTTGTTGCAGAGATTAGCGCGTTCAAACAAACAAACTCTTCAGCTTTATACTATTAGTATAGATTAAAGCAATATGTATAATCATTGAGCTATAGAGATTGATAAAAGATATTAGATGAGTTTTATAATAGATTTTGTATTGTCTCTAGTTTCATATATAAAAACGAGTTATAAATTTCAGCGATAGTCAACTCCGGATATAGCTAATTGACAAGTTGAAGTTATTGATAAACGAAATATTGGACGTGAAAACTAGCTTTTTCGACATCAAATTGTTAGTTATTGAGTTTGAAGGTTGATATTACATTTCAGAATAACAATTACAAACTTTATATGGTTTTAATTGGTGTTTGAGTTTGTATAGGAATTTAATCGGGAATCGGTTTAACAGGTAATTATGGCGTTAAAATCAGTTTGGTATTTGTAATTCACTTAGCTTTTGTAGTTAAAACTGTATTGAAACGGACAATAAAAGCCATGACCAACAGCGTTATTTGCAAATTATTATAAATATTACAAAGAAATAATATAAATGACACAAATTAAATAAAACATATATACAATAGGTAAGCAGTCAACGCGAGATATAATACAGACGATATGACGATGCATTTTGATTTTTTTAAATTTAGAATCTAAGTACGACAAACAACAGATAGACGAAAACCAACACAATTGAAGTACAACAATATAAAAAGAAAATAATCTCTATGAAATAAGCTAGCAAAGAGATATTATAACCTTGTATAACTTATAACATTCAACAGGAAAAACAAGTGAAGTGCGCGATTAAAATTCACGATAGAAAGGGACGAAGGTTTAAACTTTACGATAAAGAAAGAGACGAAAAATGAAAATTTCTCCACAAGAAGCGGAAAGCAGTGTTCTTGAAGGGATCCTTTATGCGCGGCGGTTCAACGGTTCAGCCAGAAGTTATTATTTCAATTTGAATATAGCAACTGAAGCGTGAACATGATTAGCACCGACGTCGTCCCGCGTGCCAAGCCTTTCCCCACCTTTCCTGAATTTAATCAAAGCGTGTTACTCAGAATTATTCCTTATTTATCATGTTGCTGGGTTAACCCTTTCACGCTCTAGGGAAATATTTTTCCCTTCTACAAAAATCGTTATCGATTATTGAATCGATATTTTCTAATGAATGTCCAAATAAAACGTATGAAATTACTAGCTTTGTCAGCGACTTCGTCTGTTAGTTATTTTGTATCCAAATTCGTTTTTGCGAACCTCTTCATCTTTATAAACTTAAGCTGTTACCCACGACGTCGGTCGCGTCCCTTCCCGTCGTTCTTGCAAGTTAATCTTAAAAGATAGACATAGCATCGCCGACTTTTTTTTTATATGACTAAAGAGGAATCAATCTTTCGTACATATTTGTGGGGTATCTTGAACTGTTTTTGCCAGGTTCTCCTCGAGCCCTACTCCTTGTATAAGTCACAGATTTCTCTAACCACACAAAAAAAATAATTTGAACCCGTAGTTCCTGAGATTATCGCGTTCAAACATACAAACAAATAAAAAAACTCTTCAGCTTTATATTAGTATAGATGTGAAATCTTTACACCCAAAATCACTAAAATATTGTGTTCGCATATTTAGTCTCTTACGTTTCTTAGCCATCTTAGGGACCTGTAAGGGTTAAGTAACGTTTTGAATTTGGAACTCTTTGTGACGCACAATTCCGCAACTCGTTAACCTCTGTGTCTTACGTCTATTTTCTAGACGAAACGACAGGTAATAAATAAGACTGCTTTAATTTTTTTATTTGTTTATGAATTCTAAATTTATTTATAAAATTTCAGAAAAAATATTAATAGAAAATACACACTACAACCTCCTCGCAACCTGTTATTAAAACAACTCACATGCAAGTTTGCGTGTTTTAAATTTCGATGCTTGCTCTTTGAAAACAAACCCCGCTCGCTTTGTCCACAGTGACAGCCTAAAATAAACTTAATTTATTTTTATACAAACAAACGATAACGATACTTCCTTAATTCATAAAAAAAAACAAACTAGCTAGGCTACACGTTGAAACATGGTTAATTTTTCTCGTAAGGAATACGAATATTGATATGAAAACAAGAATATGTCATATGTCAACATTGGTTTATTAGTTATGACGTGTAGAAAGTACATACATATATCCTCGCTTTCAATATGACTGACATTATTGCTAATATTGTCGATCAATTACGGCATAATTCATCGGTATGTATGAAAGTCAGTGTTTTTATTACGGATTACGGAAGAAAAAATGCTGGAACCCTACATCTAAATAAAACACAGGCAGTGTGAACAATGTTAAAAATTTTAATAAAATATTAACGTTTCAAAACGTGATATATATTGGTTAAACTTATTTGAAAAGTATTTAACTACGGCCCGACGTTTCCCTTGCTTTGCAGCAACCTTGGTTACGAGGAGACTCCTTTTAACTAATACCCATCGCATTTTAAACCGATAAAGGGACCGTTCAAGTATTACGTGTAGGGGGGCTTTATTTTGCTTATTTTTGATAAATGGGGGAGGGGAGTCCAGATGATATTACGTATGATATTTATTAACTTTCTGAATCACTTTCTTTTTTAAAATTATAATATAAAAAAATTTTTAATTGAAAATTTTTTACGTAAGAGGGGGAGGGGGTTAAAGCTTTGCTTACTTTTCCTGAAAGGGGGATGGGGGGTAAATAATTGTAATAAATGTTAGAATATGTTTTATTTAAATTTGTATCCGCGTAAACTACAGTATTACAGTATTGAAGTAATTTATAAACGAACCGTGGACAATCATCCAAACATTGACACTATTGGACAAACAAACTATGTATATAGAAATATCTGTCGATAGGAATTTTCATCAAAATCAAATCCTGTTCAATTTGACCTAATTCGTCGAGCGTTACGAAATTAACTGATCCTCGTAATCTTCTGTTAAGCGATTTCAATTTGCTAAGTAAAAGATGATTTGATTATAGTAAGTTAAACTTCCATACAAGATGAAATAATAATTATCTATTAAATCCAACTAGCTCTTATTTCTCTGTTATGGAAAAGGTTTGCCTCTAGGGAAACTGAGGGATTTACAAGCATCTATTATTAAAGAATCTTGTTTTATGTCTTATTAAATCAGCTGGAAGTTTTGCTGTAGTGTAGTGTAGTATTAAATGGATTTGTATAGATAAACATATCTATACAAATATTATAAAACTAAAGAGTTTCTTTGTTTAAAAGTGCTAATCTTAGAATTACTAGTTCGGTAATTATTTTTGTGTTGGATAGGCTATTTATCAACGAAGGCATCGGGCTACACAACATGTTACGACTAATAGAAGCGAAGGAACACTGGAAAATGTGGTAAAAGTTATCTCTTTAAATGATCTAAAAATAGTCCGGAACTTTATATGTCTATCTTTGAAGATTAACTCTCAAGAACCATTGAGTAATCAAATTTTCGATATTAATGCATTATTAGGAATTAGTTACTTGAGTTGTATTGATCTTGCAAACAACAAAACAATGTTTGCCCTATCAGCTAGTAAAATATAATAAATAATATTTAGGTTAAAAATAAGACGTTGGGTTCTTATCGTACGTTTTTTCAGAGATCTTTATTATTATAATGTTCTCACGCTTGAAACGTTTATAAAAATGAAACTCACTCAAAGTTATTCAATTTCGTATACGAGGGGTTTTAAACCTCACGAAGTGTGATGTAATTACTACATAATTGTTTATTAAAAATATAAATTAAATTTAAATATAACACTCTGTGTCTGTGTGGTCTGTCTCCCCGTGACCACGGCTACTGCAAAGCATCTAAAACGTCGGGACGAAGTTAAAAATAATTTTCAAATAAGTTTAACTAATATATCGCGTTTTAAACCGTTAAAGTGTTTTACTTAAATGTGTACTACTGGCGTAAATCATATATACAGTTAGTATTTGGTATACATTAAAAGGAAGTTAAATAATAAATATAATTTCTCGTTTTAAACCCTTAAAAGTGTTTAATTTAATAATTATGTTATTGAAATATAAATATTTTGCATATAACGATCAATCGAGAAACATTTAATATCAGCCATTTCATTAATACGAGAATTGGGAAGGCCTCGGGGCTCGTACCGTTATCGCCGAGATCTACTTCGCTCCAAATTTCCCCACAATGAATGAAGGCCATTCATGTACTCAAAGAACACGCATTACAATCATATATTTTCAGGGATATTGCCTGATTGCGGTGAATAGTAATTAAGTGAAATGGCCCGGGGTGGGGCTCGGGTAGACATATTTCTGAGTCCGTTTTATTTACTATGGATTACACTCTTTTACTGATCGAATATATTTACACGTGAAAGTTTATTATAATAGCCGATTCTGCTAACGTTGTTTTGACATTGCAATAATCAAACAAGTGCACAAAATAAAGCCACATTCATAAAAAAATATTACTTATATAAAAAATAGTTCTAGCCGTTTCGGAGGATTTCACTAAAAATACTGTGACAGGAGAATTTCATATATAATTTGTTTGTTGGTTTGAACGCGCTAATCTTCTGGAACTACTGGTTCAACTTAAAACAAATCTTTTTGTCTTGTTTGAAACATC